TCACTGGAACTGCTGGCTCCTCAGGTTATCCATATGTCTGAGCTCTACTGGTCACCAATACTTCCATGAGGACACCTCAAACAAAGCACAGGCCTTGGTGCTGACTGTCTCTTCAGTAGCTGCTGCTCACAAAGAGCACATATTACAGACTTCCAGTGCTATGCCAGGGTTTCTCTTTCTGATATATCAGGTGTTCAGAGACGGCAAGGGCTCTTTGCTGCCCTGCTGGCTGGGCCTGAGGAATACAGGAATACAGGCTTCCAGGTGTCTCCTGTTGGAGGGGATGGGTGTGTCTGACAGGAGCTGGTTCACTCCTCTGGTTTGCTTGGCAATCCAGGCTCATTGCTGGAATGATCGTTTGAGTGAAGAATAAGCTGTAATGCTCCGGTTAACCTCACACATCTGGAGATTCCCTCAAACCAGGCAAATTCAAATACAGCAACAGGCCCGTGCTCCTCTCCTCCTTGGGGGGGGTGTGTCTGACAGGAGCTGGTTCACTCCTCTTTTTCTGTCCCTAAAAGCACGTGGCTCCTGATGCAGAACTTGTTCCAACAAGGAACTGGGCAGGGTTTTGCTGGCAGGGCTTTGTAGGCTCAGGGGTTTTTAGCTGTTCCCTTTCACAGCTGCTGGGGGTTGCTGTGGGCTGTTGCTTCACTGAGGTCTCTGTAATCACTCATGTTCTTTTTTATTATCTGTGGTTGTGTGTTTAGGCACAAGACCAGCTAAACAATGCCCTGGAGCTCAACAGACACGATCTGACTTACATGATGCTGGGGAAAATTCACCTACTGGAGGGGGAGGTGGATAAAGCCATTGAAGTCTATAAGAAAGCAGTAGAGTAAGAATATGTTTAATATATTTATGTATTTCATATATTTAATATTTAATATATTTAAAAGAAATGTAGATACAGTGCTTAGGGACATGATTTAAGTACTGAACGAGTACATTAGGTTATGGCAGGGAGATTTAGATTGTGGTTGGACTTGATGATGGAGGGGGAGGTGGATAAAGCCATTGAAGTCTATAAGAAAGCAGTAGAGTAAGAATATGTTTAATATATTTATGTATTTCATATATTTAATATTTAATATATTTAAAAGAAATGTAGATACAGTGCTTAGGGACATGATTTAAGTACTGAACGAGTACATTAGGTTATGGCAGGGAGATTTAGATTGTGGTTGGACTTGATGATCTTCAAGGTCCCTTCCAGCCAGGATGATTCTGTGATTCTGTATCCCTTTTTCTGTCTGTCCATGTCCCATCCGATGCCAGGAGAAATTTGATTGGTGTCCCAGATCTGAATTGAGGACATGATTAAAAAACTAATGGTAATTATAGCGTCTCTGTGCAAAGATGACATTTCCAAGCTCTTCAGCTGTGTCTGCTCTCAGCTGTAGTCCTCGTGCTGCTGACAGTGTTTCAGGGAAGAAGGGAGCTGTTTGAAGGTCTGCCAAACACAAGTGCAAAAAGAAATGGACAGAGATGCCTGGGAGCAAACCCATTCAAAACTGAGTTCATAAATCCCAAAGGTTTATCTACAAAAAGATGTAACCTCGGGTGTCTCTCTAGCCCCAACTGTGTCAGAAACCAGTGCCTGGGTTTCACAGGCTGAAATCACTTGCAGGGCTTTGTGTTTGAAAGTGTGTGAGTAGGCAGCCTGGAGATGGGTTGGTGCACAGTGGGCTCCTCCCACCCTGTCACTGTTTCTCAGTCCTGATCTATCTTGTTTTAGGGCATCCCTGAGCATCTGATTTACCAGTGCTTTGAAAATGTAGTTGTGTAATGGAGAACACTAAAGAAAGCAGGAACCTGTTGGAAGCCAGAGGTGGACCTACATTTTGTACTGGCTCCTTTCACAGACTTTGCCCTTCCACATCTGCTTTTGGATGCTGTGTGACAGTATATTGGGTTGGGTAGATATCTGAACTAATCTAGAATGTTTATGACATAAATAATCCTTCCTAAGCACTTTACCAGGTTTGTAACTTACCTTGGTGCTCCCCTGCCCTCCCTTCTTCCTCACTCCTGGTTTTTTTCTTCTTCTTTTCTTTTTCTAATCTGCCTGTTACATTTTGCCTGCTGTTCCCAGCTCCAGGATCATTTCCCTGTGTTTCTGTACCATCAGGCACAGGCAATTTTGTTCTGGTTGAGGTTTCAAGGTGCCAGTGTGAGTGAGTGTGCACATTAGATTTCTTAAGCCTTGGGAGCAGGGAATTGCAAACTTAACTTCTGTTAGGGTGAGTGAGGCCACAAGTAGTGTCTCCTTCTCCTTTTCCTTGTTGTTCTCATCCTATTTATGTCTTCAGAAGCTGCTGGGAATGGGGGTGATTTTCAAAGGCTTCACAACATTGCTGTGTGAACCTCACAGCAGCAGTGGAGGGCTGGGAGCTGCAGTCATCAAAAAAGAGATGTCCTTTGGGGCATAAGTTGTCAAGTCTGGCTGTGCTGAGTGGTGTGTGTGGGCAGTGCCTGGCTGAGCACTCTGGGCTGTGCTGCACACAAAGCCATGGGGAACAGCCCACAGCTGCTCTGGGAAACCAGGTTTGTAATGTTTTTATAGGGTCAATTAAAAGTCTGACATTGATCCTGCATAAGATCCATCAGAAGTGCTGAGGGTTGCCTGCCCTCCATGGCCCAAGAGGCTTGGGGTGGATTTACAGGGTGGTTTGTGGGAGACTATGGAAAATCACATTTTGCATTTCCAGGTCACTGATGCTGCCTCACTTTGAAGCTTAACAAAACAACAACATCCTGTTATGCATCCAGATGTGCTTCACTGAGCATCTTGGCTTCTCAGTTATACCTAGCAGACATTTTGAAAGCTCAGGTGGCATGGTGTTCAGAGGAAGTCCCCATGATGGCAGTTCTTCCCATATTTGCATTTAATGATGACAATTTGCTGGAGTGATACTAGTATAATGTGTTTTAATTCCATGTGCTGATTTTACCTTGTTCTAGAAGGGCTAATAAACAGCACAATACTGTGGCTTTTCTGTTGCAGGTTTTCTCCAGAAAACACAGACCTCCTGACAACCCTGGGGCTACTCTACTTGCAGGTACTGAAGACTGTTTCCTCTTCCATCAACTTCTTAATTTTCAAAATGGCCAAGGTTGTGTTTGTTTTCAATAGACTTAATTTCTATCCACCTTCCCATGACTTGTACATGTTTCTCTGGCTTCATCCTGGCTCAAACCAGGACAAAGGACTACATTTCACATGACAGAGCTTGCTTTTCTGTATCTGCTTTTTTTTTGCCTTTTGCTAAAAGCAAGTTGATTTCCTGGACCTGAGCCAGCCCAGCCATTCTGTTTTGCAACTGCCCTAGTTCTTTATAAATCCTCCAAGTACAAGAGAACATGACTAGTCATTACCTTGCTTTTGGATCAGGAATCTAGCAAGTCATCCTCCTAGAAAAGCAGCCAGGAAATTGGTGATGTTAAGGAAAATTGGAATATATTTAAGTAACAAAGGCATCTTTAAGGATCTCCCTGTCCATTTAGATGCTCAGAAGTATAATGTGGGTCTCTAAAAACATTGCCTTGCTCATGAATTAGGGGAATTCAATAGGAGCCTTGGATGTCTTGAATGAATATGTGTGGTTTTAGAAGGGAATGTGAGTGGGAAGGGGGATCTGTAAGATGAAAGTAGCTCGAGTGTAGCATTCTCCCTGTAAACTTAGCCCCAGCTCTCTGTGCTGTGCTTCATGTGCTTGGTTTGTGTCTCTCTGGAGACAGACTCACTCTCACCCTCAGGCATTTAAAGATGCCCCCACAGCCTTCCCACTCTCTGCTACTCCCACAAGTCACTGGACAGTGGTGCATCCTGCTTGGACTGGTACAATCCTGGCATAATTCAGTTGGAAATGATGGGATTTCAGGATTTCTAAGCAGTAATGTGCTTTATTCATGGACACTGTCATGCCCACAAACACTTGCAGTCCATTGGAAGACTTCTTCCCATGAAGAGTGAGGAAGGTGTGGTGAGGAAATCAAGTATACAAAGAGTAGTAATTTGTAGCCTCTTTTCTGGAAGAGAGGAGGGAGCAGAGGAGTATCAGCCCAGAGCTCCTGTCAGAGCACAAACTACATGGAAAACTGGTTTGGACACAACAGTGAATCCACCCCAGCAAAACAAATGTACAGCATCTGTAAATTATCAAACAAAAATGTGTGTGTGTGATGGGATGACTGTAAAATTCCACTTTTCTTAAGATTTGTTTTTACTGAACCAAAAATGCCAGTGACCAAACAGGGTCCTCCTGTTCCTGAATTTCTGATGCTTGTTTCCTTCTCTTCCCAGCGTGGGGATTACCAGAAGGCTTTTGAGCACCTTGGAAATGCACTTACTTATGACCCAACCAACTACAAGGTACCATGAAGAGTGGGAATAAACCAGCTGAAGGGTGATGAAACACTTCTTAAAGCTAATTCCAGTATCAGAGCTTTGCCATTTATATGCAGGGGTCTTAGCCTGGAAAGGCTGGAAAGGATCATGCCCAGAAAGCTTCCTCCAAAATACATTCTGGGACCTTTCCCTGGGCAGGGAGTCTGATGTGTGTGGAGGTAGGGAGAGGGAAGGAGGCAGAATGTGGTTTGGAAGAGACCTTAAAGCTCATCCAGATCCAACCCCCCTGCATGGGCAGGGACACCTCCCACCAGCCCAGGCTGCTCCAAGCCCCATCCAACCTGCCCTTCAACACTGCCAGGGATGGGGCAGCCACAGCTTCCCTGGGCAGCCTGGGCCAGGCTCTCACCACCCTCACAGCAAAGAATTCCCTCCTCATGTCCAACCTAAATCCTCCCTCTTCCAGTTTTCATCCATTCCCCCTTGTCCTCTCCCTCCCTGCCCTTGTCCCAGGTCCCTCCCCAGCTTTCCTGGAGCCCCTTCAGGCACTGGAAGGTGCTCTAAGGTCTCCCTGGAGCCTTCTCTTCTCCAGGCTGAACACCCCAACTCTCCCAGCCTGTCTCCAGGGCAGAGCTGCTCCAGCCCTGGGATCATCTCTGTGGCCTCCTCTGGATTTGTTCCAACAGGTCCATATCCCTCTTGTGTTGGGGGCTCCAGAATTGGACTCAGCACTGCAGGGGAGTCTCACCAGAGCAGAACAGAGGGGACAATCCCCTCCCTGACCCTGCTGCCCGTGCTGCTGGTGACACAGCCCAGAACAGGGTTGGTCTCTGGGCTCCAGCACACCATGCTGGCCAATGTTGAGCTTCTCACCCACCATCACCCTCAAGCCCTTCTCCTCAGGACTGTTCTCAACCCACTGTCCACCCAGCCTGTATTTGTGCTTGGGATTACCCCCCAAAATACAGGATGTTAAATTGAGTCCCTTGGTTTTTAACCTGAATTTTCAAACAAATTAAATGAAATAGAATTCACTTTGCAAGGAAAATGTTCCAGACACTGTTTCAAAACTCCAAAGAGCTGTTCCTGGGTCCCTGTCCCTCCTGGGCATGGAGCACTGGCACAAGTGAGGTTCCACTGTATTATTGTCCCACCTGTTAATAACTCTGCTTCCAGCTGTTGTGAACAAATGGGACCCCTCCTTGGCTCTGCTCTGGAAGCCAAGCTTGGCATCCAGGTTTAATTCCTGGCTGTGAAACTACTTCCCTTTCTAGCCAGGCTGCTTCATTTCTCTGCTGCTTTTTCCTTCTGGAGGCTGTGGAGGATGTAGAGTATGGACACGTGGCACTGAGGAGTGATGGATGAACATGAGTTGAACCTTCTTGTGAAAACACCTTTACACTTACAAATTTTACTTGTCACTGTGAAATATTATAAAGGGCTAAGCTAGTGGGGTTTAATGACAGTTTGTTGCTGTCACTGGCTTTTTTTCCCCCATGCAGCTTTCCATGGATTTGCAGGATCCAGTCAGTGTGAACTGGGCTGGCTTGGCTGCATATGTCTTGCTTGAGTGTGTTTTACTCTTGCACCAGAGCTGTTTCTATTTCTACTTGTTGCTAAAAAGAAACTGTTAGTGCATAGATCTCCCCAGGAACTCATGGTCTAGGAGGTACTGCTGCCACCCTGAAACAACCCTGAATACTTCTCATGTTGCAGTATTTCCAAGATAGTTATGATGGAGATCACAGAATTGTTCTGGTTGGAAAAGACCTTCAAGATCATCAAGTCCAACCATAACCCAACTCTACGAACCATTAACCCTCTCCCTCTAACTACTCTCCCAAGTCCAGTGCTAACCCATGTCCCTCAGCACCACTTCTACACATCTCTTAAGCACCTCCAGGGATGGAGACTCAACCACCTCCCTGGGCAGCCTGGGCCAGTGTTTAATGACCCTTTCAGTGAAGAAATTGTTCCCACAATCCAATTTAAACCTCCCCTGGCACAACATTTTGTCTTGTTCTATCCCTCTCAAAACAAACCTTTGTCCCAGGTCCCTCCCCAGCTTTCCTGGAGCCCCTTCAGGCACTGGAAGGTGCTCTAAGGTCTCCCTGGAGCCTTCTCTTCTCCAGGCTGAACACCCCAACTCTCCCAGCCTGTCTCCAGGGCAGAGCTGCTCCAGCCCTGGGATCATCTCTGTGGCCTCCTCTGGATTTGTTCCAACAGGTCCATATCCCTCTTGTGTTGGGGGCTCCAGAATTGGACTCAGCACTGCAGGGGAGTCTCACCAGAGCAGAACAGAGGGGACAATCCCCTCCCTGACCCTGCTGCCCGTGCTGCTGGTGACACAGCCCAGAACAGGGTTGGTCTCTGGGCTCCAGCACACCATGCTGGCCAATGTTGAGCTTCTCACCCACCATCACCCTCAAGCCCTTCTCCTCAGGACTGTTCTCAACCCACTGTCCACCCAGCCTGTATTTGTGCTTGGGATTACCCCCCAAAATACAGGATGTTAAATTGAGTCCCTTGGTTTTTAACCTGAATTTTCAAACAAATTAAATGAAATAGAATTCACTTTGCAAGGAAAATGTTCCAGACACTGTTTCAAAACTCCAAAGAGCTGTTCCTGGGTCCCTGTCCCTCCTGGGCATGGAGCACTGGCACAAGTGAGGTTCCACTGTATTATTGTCCCACCTGTTAATAACTCTGCTTCCAGCTGTTGTGAACAAATGGGACCCCTCCTTGGCTCTGCTCTGGAAGCCAAGCTTGGCATCCAGGTTTAATTCCTGGCTGTGAAACTACTTCCCTTTCTAGCCAGGCTGCTTCATTTCTCTGCTGCTTTTTCCTTCTGGAGGCTGTGGTGGATGTAGAGTATAGAGACGGGGCGATGAGGGGGTGATGGATGAACATGAGTTGAACCTTCTTGTGAAAACACCTTTACACTTAAAAATTTTACTTGTCACTGTGAAATATTATAAAGGGCTAAGCTAGTGGGGTTTAATGACAGTTTGTTGCTGTCACTGGCTTTTTTTCCCCCATGCAGCTTTCCATGGATTTGCAGGATCCAGTCAGTGTGAACTGGGCTGGCTTGGCTGCATATGTCTTGCTTGAGTGTGTTTTACTCTTGCACCAGAGCTGTTTCTATTTCTACTTGTTGCTAAAAAGAAACTGTTAGTGCATAGATCTCCCCAGGAACTCATGGTCTAGGAGGTACTGCTGCCACCCTGAAACAACCCTGAATACTTCTCATGTTGCAGTATTTCCAAGATAGTTATGATGGAGATCACAGAATTGTTCTGGTTGGAAAAGACCTTCAAGATCATCAAGTCCAACCATAACCCAACTCTACGAACCATTAACCCTCTCCCTCTAACTACTCTCCCAAGTCCAGTGCTAACCCATGTCCCTCAGCACCACTTCTACACATCTCTTAAGCACCTCCAGGGATGGAGACTCAACCACCTCCCTGGGCAGCCTGGGCCAGTGTTTAATGACCCTTTCAGTGAAGAAATTGTTCCCACAATCCAATTTAAACCTCCCCTGGCACAACATTTTGTCTTGTTCTATCACTTGTTCTTTGGGAGATGAGGCCAACTCCCCTGGCTCCAACCTCCTTCCAGGGAGCTGTAGGGTGAGAAGTTCTCCCCTCAGCCTCCTTTTCTCCAGGCTAAACACCCCCAGTTCCTTCAGATGCTCCTCATGGTGCTTATGCTGCAGACACTTCACCAGCTTCATTGACCTTTTCTGGACTTGCTCCTGCATCAGATGGTGCAGGAAGAAGCAGGGGCCCGAGTTGCTTCTCTGCTCTGTGTTCTTCTATGTGTTGGAAGATTCTAGAGCCCCCATCTGCTTCCCACTGTTGGGGTTGGCAGCCCCTAGAAGAAAACACCTGAAAAAAAATGGTTGCTCTTGAAATGCCTTTTAGTTTATTCATGTTCCCCTCTTGCCTTCTTGCTGTATTTGGGAAAAAGGCAGTTCCTCAGCTGGTCATTCTCCTCTTCTCTCCAAGGCTACCCTGGCTGCTGGCAGCATGATGCAGGTCCATGGAGACCATGACGTTGCCCTCTCCAAGTACAGGGTGGTGGCCAGCGCGGCGCCCGAGAGCCCCCCCCTGTGGAACAACATCGGGATGTGCTTCTTTGGGAAGAAGAAATACGTGGCAGTAAGTGCCTGGGTTTCTTTCTTTCTCCATCTGGAGCTGATTTCATGCAAGAGCAGGATTCCTCCTGTGGCAGAGACAGGAGGGCTGCTCTGGGTGGGCTGTGTTAGCAGCATGTCTGTTCCTGTTTGGAAGGCCATCAGCTGCCTGAAGCGGGCAAACTACTTGGCTCCCTTTGACTGGAAGATCTTGTACAACCTGGGCTTGGTCCACCTCACCATGCAGCAGTATGCATCTGCCTTCCACTTCCTGAGTGCTGCTATCAGCCTCCAGCCCAAGATGGGAGAGCTCTATATGCTCCTTGCAGGTATGTGACACTCCCTGATCCCACTCCTGGGGTATCCGTGGACCTTCGTCTGGGGAGAAAGATGGGTTAAGGGTGGGTCTGCTGGAAAGCAGAGCCAAGGACCTGATCCCACTCCTGGGGTATCCGTGGACCTGGGGAGAAAAGATGGGTTAAGGATGGGTCTGCTGGAAAGCAGAGCCAAGGCGAAGGATCTTGGAGTCCTGGTAGGCAGTAAATGATCCATGAGCCAGCAAAGTGCCCTTATGGCCAAGGAGGCCAATGGAATCCTGGGGTGCATGAGGAAGAGTGTGGCCAGTAGGTCCAGAGAGGTCATCCTGCCTTTCTGCTCTGGTGAGGCCACAGCTGGAGAACTAGGACCAGTTCTGGGCTCCCTAGTTCAAGAGAGACAGAATCCAGTGAAGGGCTGAAAAGCTGACTGGGGGATTGGAACATCTCCCTGATGAGGAGGAGCTGAGAGAGCTGGGGGTGCTCAGCCTGGAGAGGAGAAGGCTGAGGGGAGACCTTATCAGTGCCTGGAAGTATCTGAGGGTGGGTGCAGGAGGTTGGAGCCAGACTCTGCTCAGCAGTGCCCAGGGACAGGACGAGGGGCAATGGGCACAGGCTGGAACATGGGAAGTGCCACTGGAATATGAGGAGAAACTTCTTGACTGTGAGGGTGACAGAGCCCTGGGACAGGCTGCCCAGGGGGGTGTGGAGTCTCCTTCTCTGGAGATATGTGCTCCAGGGGATCCAGGAGTTGGATAAATGATCTCTAGAGGTCCCTTCCAACTCTGACAGTTCTGTGATTCCATGATTTCCAGCTCTGGACAGGTTTGGGATCAAGCAAGACAAGTATTTGTCAGAAATGACATGAGTAGGGTTACTCCTGTCCAGCCAACCCTGCTGGCAGCTGGTACCTTACGTGGTAGTAACATTCCAAATGGTCCTTCTGAAGCATCTACTTGTGCTTTGCTGCAGTTGCTCTGACAAACCTTGAAGACATGGAGAACGCCAAACGTTCCTATGAACAAGCTGTGGCCCTGGACAAGTGAGTCTTCCCTGCAGCTGTTTGGTGATTGCTTTGCCTCCCTCCCCTGGTTCCCTTGCCAGGTTTTGTCCCTCTCTCAACTTTGACCCCGAGTGGTTTGTGATAGGGAAACATTTTGATTCCTGCAGCTGCACAAGTTGCTGTTTTAAAAACATCTTTTCTTCTCTTACATTCAGGTCAGCTCTGAAAACTGAAAGGGAAGTTTTGTTTCAGTCCAACCCAAAGCTGTTTAGTTAGTGAAGTCAGTGGTGATGACTTTGGATTCCAGGCCACCTTCCAGTGAATATTTATGCACAGCAGAACAGATTCAATAGAAGGAAACCAGTCATCTCAAAATATTTTGTGACCCAAAGCTGGAGCCTGTGAGGGTGATGGGAGGCTTGGGATAAAGCCTGCTCTGAATGAGGCAGAGGGAGGATTTTAGGTGGGAGAATGTGGGCAAGAAGCTGGTACAAAGCACAGAGAAGGGCAGCAGTGGGGCCCTTTCTCCTCCAGGTTGGTGACAGGGTCTGTGTTTGCAGTCTGGCTCTTAAAATCAGAGCACTTGGTTTCAGAAATGTTGAAATGAACCCTGCAGTGTTTGATCATTTCAGTCAAAAAACCCAATTCACCTCAAATTTATGAATGGTTTTGGCTCCCTGGGTCTGGTTTCTTTATGTTCTTTACCCTTCAGGTTTTGCCCAGTAGATGATTAGATGTCCCATCCCTGGAACCATTGAAGATCAGGATGGACAGGGCTCTGTACAACCTGATCTAGTTGAAGGCCTCCCTGCTTATTGCAGGAGGGTTGGACTAGATGACCTTCAAAGTTCCCTTCCAACCTGAACTGTTCTGTGATTCAATGATTCCTGTGAGTATTTGTAGGCCTGGAGCAGCCAGCTCAGTGCTCCTGGGCCGGGGTGGCTCTGCCAAAGAGCTGTGGCAAAAGCACTTCCCATCTGCAGTGGCCACCACAAGGTGGCGTGAGAAGATGCTGGTTCCATTGTCCTTTATAACCTAGGTGTCCTGGCCACGCTTAATTTTGGGAATCCTGGAAGTCCCTAAACCCATTCTGAAGGGGCAGCAGGTTTCCAGAAATAACGTTTGATGCTGGGGTGCAGCTCTCCTGGTGCTGAGGTGCTGCAAGAACCATCGACTGGTTTGGGTTGCAAGGGACCTTAAAGATCATCCAGCCCCAACCCCCCTGCATGGGCAGGGACACCTCCCACCAGCCCAGGTTGCTCCAAGCCCCATCCAACCTGCCCTTCAACACTGCCAGGGATGGGGCAGCCACAGCTTCCCTGGGCAACCTGGGCCAGGCTCTCACCACCCTCACACTCCACAATTCCCTCCTCATGTCTCACCTCAATCTCCCTCTCCCAGTTTTCATCCATTCCTATTTGTCCTCTCCCTCCCTGCCCTTGTCCCAAGTCCCTCCCCAGCTTTCCTGGAGCCCCTTCAGGCACTGGAAGGTGCTCTATGAGGTTTCCTGGGATTACATGGCCTGCACACATACCCATCTCTGGAATTTTCCTGCTCAGCCTCCCATGCCCAGCCAGGCAGTGCAGGACCCTCAGGACTGCTCAGGCTGCCTAGTCAGGACTTTGTGTGCATGAAGCAAAAAGGGAACAGAAATTTAGCTCTACAGCTTCACCTAAATATTTGGCACTGTGATGATGCTACAGCTCGAGAGTCTTACTGGGAAAACAAAACCTCCTCAAAGCAAAACAGAATGCCCACTGCCAGGGAATACTGGGAGGAGTATCCAGCCTTTGTTAGGCTTGTTCAGCTGGATATTTTATTTATTGTCTGGCTCAACCCATGTCCCCACAGGCTCTCTTTGCTGATGAGCCCTTTGGCTGGGATGAAGGTGGCTGTGTTCCCTGCCATTGCCAGAAATCCTTTTAAAGAGTGTGGGGATATTAGGCCTGGGTGCCCTGCTGGGCTCTGGGATGGGAAGCATCTTGGAAACAGCTTTTAAAAAAGGTGTTTCTTCTTAGAGCTGGTTCTAGCTCGTAGCTGTCTGCCCTTTCTGGGCTTATTTAGCTATTGATTTTTTTCTGTCATATTCTCAGCTCTTGAGGGTGAATTGCCTTTATCAGGTTCCATTAGTTTTAACATGAGCTGTTCCCAGATCTGTCTGATCTGTTCTCAGTGCTCCATTGAGTGGCTTTGGTTGCTTGTGTTTTCTTGTTGGCTTTTTTCCCCCCACCAGAGAGATGGGGTTTTGATATTTATTTTTTTCCTGCATTTCTTCCTTTGCTTTGGCACAGACAGTGAAGTGGGGTTGCTTGGGGTTTTCTTGTGGCAGGATCAGTGTTCCAGTTCCTCAGTGAAAGGAAAACCAATAGTTATAAATGGTATCAGGTACCTTCTAAGTCTTTCTTCTTGCAGTGCTGTCATGTATCTTCCCAGGGAAGATATATGGTCTTGGTCATATGCAGGTGACACCTTGTCTAGTGAGCAGTGTGAGCAGAAGCCTTCTGCACTTCTCACAGAAGGTGCTTCTGTCCTGGCTCCCAAAGGCAGCAGTGCTGGAGTCCTGGGATGGCTCCAGTGATCCCTGCCGGGCTCCAGGGGAGGGCACCAGGGCCTCCTCCCGTGTGTGCAGAGCAGCCCTGGCTGCCCTGGGTGCAGTAACATGGGTGTGCAGTGAGTGACACAGGGGTGCAGTGACATGGGTGTGCACCTCTGGAGTCCTCAACACAAGAGGGACATGGAGCTGTAGAAACAAGTCCAGAGAAGGGCCACAAAAATGGTCCGAGGGCTGGAGCAGCTCTGGTACCAAGACAGGCTGAGGGAGTTGGGATGTTCAGCCTGGAGAAGAGAAGGCTCCAGGGAGACCTTAGAGCACCTTCCAGTGCCTGAAGGGGCTCCAGGAAAGCTGGGGAGGGGCTTTGGACAAGGGCAGGGAGGGAGAGGACAAGGGGGAATGGATTAAAACTGGAAAGGGGGGAGATTGAGGTGAGACAAGAGGAGGAAATTCTTCACTATGAGGGTGGTGAGACCCTGGCCCAGGTTGCCCGGGGAGGTGGTGGAGGCCCCATCTCTGGAGACATTCAAGGTCAGACTTGATGAGGCTCTGAGCAACCTGAGCTAGTTAAATAGGTCCCTGTGCACTGCAGGGGGGGCTAGACTAGGTGACCTTTAAAGGTCCCCTCCAAGCCCACACATTCTGTGATGATTCTACGATGATTCTCTGCAGCAGGTTGTGGGCACAGGGCTCCTCCATCCTCCCCCTACAGCATGCCCTCTCCTGCTCAACTCAGGCTCTGCTCTCCCAGGTCCTATCCCCCAGCCTGGACGAGCTGTGCTGGGACTGGTGCCCCTCTTCCCTTTCATTCCTTTGTCAGGCAATACAGGTGCATTTTGCTTCTCCAGATTGAGGCTGGATGGTCAGAGCAGCTTGTGGAGTGGGGCTTCGCAGGCAATTAAGGAAGGATCAGATCACCCAGAGCTTCACTGATTAATGACAGAGCCAAGGGTCTCAGCTCCTCATTCCCTCTGGTTCAGTTTTCCTCACACTCCTGGCTCTGCCAGAGGAAAGCTGCTGTGCAGGGTTAGTGTATCCAAGTGAATCAAATGGATACGGTGGGAAATGAGGAGGTGTGGAGCCCTTCTGCCTCACTGGAGCTGGGGGAGCCTGGGCTGAGCTCAGAGATCACAGCAGAATGAAGTCCCCTCACTGCTCCTCAGCCCAGAGTCAGGAGCTCGGAGACGCAGAGTCATTTCTGTTGTCCTTGGCACTGGGATGCTCCCCTGGGCCCAGGCTCCGTGTGTCTCACCAAGCTCCTGGGGCTCCATCGTGTCCCCAGAGGCCTCAGCTGCCTGGGGGGCAGGGTGCCCCATGGCCACACATTAGGGAGACTCCAGCTTTGCTGCTTGGGCTCATCTTATTCGGGAAAACTGTTCCCACATGGAATGTGATGCATCTTGTGTGTTTGCTGCAGGTGCAACCCCCTGGTCAACCTGAACTATGCCATCCTGCTGTATAACCAGGGGGACAAGCAGGGAGCCCTCTGCCAGTACCAGGAGATGGAAAAGAAGGTCAGCATGGTGAAGGAGAGCAGTGCCCTTGACTTTGACCCTGAGGTACGTGCCCCAGGGCTGTCAGCAGGAGCCAGGCAGCCCTGCTAGGACTGGCAATAAACCAGGGGAAATTTGACTTTGGAGTCCAATTATTAGGAAGAAATTCTGCTTACGAGGTTTTCTGAGTAAAGCAGCTGCCTGCTGAGAGCTGCTTGCTGCATTTCTGCTCTTTGAAGGCCAGTTCTTCAATCAATACACAGCAAGACAAGATTTCCTCTTAATTAAGAGGATGAATTAGCAGAGATGTTTCCCTTGAGCACCGAGGCAGCAGCCAGCTCTGCACAGCTGCTGGGTGTTGGGTTTTGTGTGTGTTGTTGTTGACTTCATTGTTGTCTGGAGTGTTCTAATTTACCATAGTCTTCTCTTTTTGCTTCTTGAGAAGATGGTGGAGGTTGCCCAGAAGATGGGAGCTGCCCTGCAGGTGGGGGAGAGCCTGGTCTGGACTAAGCCTTCTAAAGAGTCTAAATCCAAGCAGCGAGCTCCAGCAGGGAAAGCCTCCAGCACTCAGCAGCCTTTGGGCTCTAACCAAGCCCTGGGCCAAGCCATGTCCTCAGCTGCAGGGTATGGGAAGACCCTACAGCTTCCCCCAGGTACTTCTTATGTCCTTCTTTTTGAAGCAGAACTGTGGAAGGGGAGAAGAGACACCTCCCTGAGTACAGAGTGACAGCATGTATTTGGGAAGGCATCAACTTGCTTACACAGTAACGATGTCAATATTTGCTAAGAGCTTTCCCAGATTTCTGAGTTCAGGCAGGGTGGGAGACAGATGCTCTCTGTGGTGCCTTAGGCTGTCATGCTTTTGCAGGATAAACTCAGTAAAAGTTCTTCTTCTATCTGAGCCACGATGGACAAGAATACCAGTAGCCTGGGATTGAGGTCTTGCTCTGGGAAGGAGGGGGTTTCAGAAACCAGACCACTTGTCTTGCTTTGGATGAGCCCAGGAGCTGACATGCACATAGATACTCTGCTCTCATGAGACCACACCTGCAGTGCTGTGTCCAGCTCTGGAGCCCCCAACACAAGAAGGACATGGACCTGTTGGAACAAATCCAGAGGAGGCCACAAGGATGCTCAGAGGGCTGGAGCAGCTCTGCTTTGGAGCCAGGCTGGGAGAGTTGGGGTGTTCAGCCTGGAGAAGAGAAGGCTCCAGGGAGACCTTAGAGCACCTTCCAGTGCCTGAAGGGGCTCCAGGAAAGCTGGGGAGGGACTTGGGACAAGGGCAGGGAGGGAGAGGACAAGGGGGAATGGATGAAAACTGGAAGAGGGAGATTGAGGTGAGACATGAGGAGGAAATTCTTGAGTGTGAGGGTGGTGAGAGCCTGGCCCAGGTTGCCCAGGGAAGCTGTGGCTGCCCCATCCCTGGCAGTGTTGAAGGGCAGGTTGGATGGGGCTTGGAGCAACCTGGTGTGGTGGGAGGTGTCCCTGCCCATGCAGGGGCTTGGATCTGGATGATCTTTGAGGTGCCTTCCAGCTCAAACCATTCTAGGCTTCCATGATTTTATGAATCACAGAATGGTTTGGTTTGGAAGGGACATAGAAAGAGAGGCTGCTGCAGAGAAGGGAAATGATGGTAAATTTTCTGTTACAAAAACAACTGCAACTGGACTGCTCTGAAGCTGTGCAGGCAGCTCCCTGCTTCCCAGGTGCTGCTGAATTACCTTTCAGTGCAGGCTCTGGACTGAGGGTCAGGGGATGTATCAGCCTTGGCAGGCTGAGACTGGTGTCTGTACATGTTACTTCTTGCTTCACAACTCATCATGGTGAAGTTCTGTCACTCGTAGTCTTGTTGCCTGTGGGCTGAACCAGGAGAGAGGTTGTGTAATCCAGGCCTCTTTCTTTGGCACCCCTAAGGACCTGTTCCATTTTTCATGCATGGAATAAACTTTGGATGCAGGGAGGACTTAGGAAAGCTGAAAAAGAAAAGATACAGGAGTTTGGGGTTTACCTGGTTTATCATCCATATCAGAGAAGGGAGGTGGTTCAGAACATCCAGTTGTCAGCCTAAACCTGAGCATAGGAACATCATCAGTATGTGAGTGTCCTGTCTATGGGTTTTGTTCTCTAACTAGTTACTTCAGCTGTCTGGAAACTCTCCCTGTTTCCTAAAAGTGTGGCCTGAAAAGGATACTGTGGTTTTGGCTCCAGCTTGAATATAAACTGGCTTCAGTGGAACTGTTTTCCCTTCCAAAGCATGAGTTAATTCCTAATTTTGTCCTGACTTGTGACAGCAGCCCAGCTGAATCTTGCACCCTAACTTCCCTCAGCAGCACTTTGGGCACTGGGAGGTCTCTGGCTGCATCCCCAGCAGACCTGCAAGAAGAAATGTGAGAGTCACCAATAGCTGTGGTTGTTCTGCATCTCCCTGCTGCCTGGAAGGGCAAAAAGAGTAGACAACAGACTATGGTCATGCAGTAACTGTAGCTGTGTTCTCTCCCCAGGTGCTGGAGCAGCAGCAAAGCCTCCCTCACTGCCCCTGGAGCCAGAGCCAGGCCCAGACACCAGCCCCGAGGTGCCAGCAGAGGCTGAGGAGCAGAGCAAGAGCCGGGAGGCAGGGGACTAGGATGGGCTCTGGTGGCCACAGGCAGGGGCATCCCCAGCTCTGCCTGCTGGCCTGTGGGGAGAGGGACCTGCCCTCTCCCCTGACCCGTGGTGGCTTCACCCCACTGTTAGTCAGTCTAAATGCAGCTGTTTCCTGTTAATGAGTTTAGCACGTGGGCTCTCCCGTGTCCCAGGAGTTACTGCAGCAAGGAGAGGTGCTTGTGTAGCTTCTGTCAGTTGGTCCCAGCTGTCCAGTGCAAGAGCCTGGAGGATGGAGATCCATCTCTCCACAGGGTTGGCTGTCCTTAGCATTTGCCTGGAAGTCCTCCAGAAGGATGCTGAGGCATCCACTATGTTTAGAAAAGCCAGAAGTAGTGGCTTAGCATCCTGGGCCCCAAAGAGGGTCTCAAACCCTTCAGTGCTGAACTTGTAACCTGCTGAGGAGCAAGGTCAGAGTGAGGCTGGAGTGAGGTCAGTGGTAAAACACTCAGGGGGAGAAAGTACCACACCTTGCCAGGGCAAATGCAGGGCTTCTTGCTCCTTGTTTCCCAAGGACACAACTTTGTAAATGCTTCCTCCAGGCTGAGGAGAGGAAGTTGAAACAGCAGTGAGCTGCTAGCCCTGAGCAGGGCACTGCCAGGGGCACAGGGCACCACTTAAAGTTGCAGGAGCCTGGCTATTCTGGAAGCTGCAGCACCAAAACAGTCTGTCAAATCCCTGATTGTTTGCTGAGAAACAGGGTAAATGGGCCTGGGTGAAGCTGTTTCAGTTCTTCCTGAAGAATTTGTATCTTTCCCTCTCCCGTGTGGGGTTGCAGGGAAAAGAAAAAAAAAAGAGCAAGGCTTTTCTGAAAAGAGGACACAGCTTCAGAGCTGAACTGAAATTGTTTTAGTGAGACAGCAGCCATGCTCTGAATAATTTAGTTGTGCCCTCCTTACAGTTGCATTAGAGGAGGAATCACTGATGTTGGCTGAGAGGCAGCAGAGCAGTGAGGAATTTGAATGCTGGTGTGATACTTGAGCTTTGAAAATGTTTCTGTCCCTAAACAGCAAAATCTGAGCCTTCCTTTTCTCTGCTCCTGTCAGTTTGTTGCCTCTGGTTCCTCTTTTAGTTCTGCACTGTGGTATCACCCTGTAATTAACAAGTCCAACAACAGAGCAAGGTGAGGATGGAAACTTAGCAAAGCCCTGAAAGCAGCTGGGCTGAGGCTCTGAGCACACTCAGACCCTGCAGCTCTGCTGTGTGGTGACTGCTGTTACCAGAATGACATGAATGCATCTTTAGAGCATAACCAGGAACTATTCTGCTTCCTGGAGAACACTAAAAAAAAAAGTAGGAGCCCTTCATTTTCTCCTCTGTTTTGATTGCCCAAACTGCCTGCCTTTCTCAAACGTGGCTTTTGTTCTCCAGCTGTCTCTGCTGCTGAGTTTTGTGTCCCTGCAGCTCCAGGGCAGCAGCCATGGCAGGCTTCCCTCCTGCTAGGAGTTGGAAGAAAACACTGGATCTTTTGTGAAGCACTGGTAAATTTAAACAAACCAGACAAGAAGCAGTGTCCATCAGGTAGAGTGCAGCCACTTTTATTCACATTCCACTTTTCACACTGGAAGTTACTGCAGCATAACAGGGTGCCTGGGAAGGGGAGGTTGAGATTGCAGAGCAAGGGTGGGCAGGGTGTGGGAACTCATTACCTCACCCCCAAAGTTTAGTTCAAGACAGAGTTTGCTGATAGCTCTTGATTGCTGTCATCTGTTAGACTTATCACAAAGGCTCTCACACCATGGAAGCCCCAACACAAGGACCAGTGACCACAACAGTGTGGTTCCAGGTATGGGAGCATCAGCTTTGCTGATACAAGGAGATTTTTCCCCTCCATCTGCTCATGAACCTTTGTTTTGCTTTTACTATCTGCCTTCCCCTGGTTGTAAAAAAGAAAAGAGAACTTAAACTGTAGCATTTTGAAACACCTTTAATAGGTGGGAGCAGCCCTGGTCCCACTGCTGTTCTCAACTTACAGCCCACTGGGGACAGGGAACAATCAGGAACCTCTCTCCTCTCACCCAGTCCCTATTACCTTCCTGGCTGCTAGGAGCTTTAACAGGGTAAGTGGCACATGCCAGGGTACATCTGGAGGTGATGTAAAGGTATTTAAAATAAAGACATATTTTGGTGACAAGCTTATGCAGATAATTGACCAGGTCTCCTAGGAAAGAGGCCCCTTCTACTTTCTGGGTTTGAACAGAGCAGCAGGGAGTGGTTTGCAATCTGTAGTCACAGTTGGACAATAAATAGAACTGCAATTCCTTGTCCTGTCCCCTCTCTTCCCTCCTGGCTGTTGGGATGATGCTGTTTGCACCCAAGAAAGTCATGGTATCTGTATGAAGAGCTTTTTGTGTGCTCTCTAGTAGGAACCAGGCCATACTGTTCTTCCAGCTGAAATGAAGCAAGGGGGGGGGTTCTTCATCAGGACCACATTGAGCCATAATTCTCATCTTCTCTTTTTCCCCCCATAATCAAAAGCTTAAGGTGGAAAAGAATAATGAACTTAATTGCTAGGGAAGTAGAAACCATCTGCTTTAGGACTCTCACTTTTCCCCTTTTCGAAAAATATGCATCATTACCCAGGTTACATCAAGCAGCCTACAGGGCAGGCTGCTCACAGCTACAACAGCAGCAAGACTTTGTTTCAGGTGAGTGATGATCCAGCAACGTGTGTTCAACCCAGACAACTCTGGGTCTGAGATCTCTGAGACAACTAGATGCTGGTATTTTTTATCTGGGCAGTATTTGTGTGTATTTGCCATGTTTCTGCACATGATCTTGCCCAGTGGTCACCAAGAGGCAGCATGGGCCTTGGCTCCTACTCAATACCCTGTTCATGCACAGGACATGAAAAATTCCCCTGGGGAAGTGGACTTCAGGTGGCAAAGCCTCTTCTCCAGGGACAGACAAGCCTCAGTGCTGGATGAAGAAAACCAACTTGACTGAAATAATGAGCTCCACGCAGAAATGCCCTACAAAGAAGCACATCCTAACAAGTTCATCTGCCAAAACTACTTCTTATAATAGCAAACACAGTTCTGCAACAAGGAAAGCTTTACCCCTCTCCCCCCAGACTTCACAAACATCAGTGGTTTTTCAGGGAAGCTGCAGGTGAGACGGGAACCCAGTTTTACCCAGGCTGCAGTGAGTGAGGAGGAGCTTTCCTGAAAAATTCATGGAGGAGGTTTTCAGGGAATGTTGTTTCTCCTGCTTGCATTTTAATGAGATCTCTACTCAAAGAGATTCGTGTTCTTCAGCTGGTAGGATATCTCCTCAGCAAAGGCTCAGTTTTCCAAGTGACAGGGAGTTGTCTGGAGCAGATGCCTTCCTGAGCTTCCAGCACAGAAGGCAAGAGCCCCACATGCTGTTCCCAGCCAACATTTCTTTCCTGTGCTGAGAGAACATCCTCCCACAAGTCTGGAGTTCCCTGAGGATTCAGTCTGGTTGGTGCTTAGGATCCACCTGAGATGTTATGCAAGAAACTGCTCCATCTGTTAGAGGAGTGTCCTCTGACATCTCTGGAGAAGCAGAACAATGATTCCTGGCTCCAAGATCAAGTTTTCCTGGAGAGCTGAATCAGGCTCAGCATTGCTGAAGCAGAAAGCACAGGAGTCATGAGAGCAGACCCAGGGATCTGCTCTGCAAAAGAACTTGGTGCAAATTTCATCTGCCCCTTGTTACTCCAACTTTATAACAAGAGCAGAGACAACCTTTAATATTCCCTTTTCTCTCCCTGGTAACCTCGTTAGTGCTTGACTGAAGGATGAGACAGTTTGTTGTGTCTGGTTTAGCTGGTTTCAACCCCTGAGTCTATAGACATGATTTTTCTAAGCATGGAACTCCCACCTTGCTGTGCTTGCAGGTTTAGAACTTCACTGCAGGTGTTTACCATGGTATGAACTGCCCTGAGAAGAACTTCATGTGGCCTAAAACAAATATTCACATTCAAACACTGGCTTAAAGCAGGACATAACAAGCCAACAAAAGCCATGACAATGGGAATTCAGGGTTTTCCTCTATTTATATATTGTTCTTCCTAATGTACTATAAAACTGGGATGCATTTCCTTCCCTCAGCACCAGTAGGGGGCACAGGGTGTGCCAGCAGCACTGGCAGCTCTGCTGCAGCCCAGACTGCTCTGAGCACGTGTTGGCATAGACAGCTGAGCAGCACCAGCTTCCACCTCAGCTGCCGCCTCCAAAAAAGCAATAGCACAGAGGGGTAAACAATTTCAGGGTAGGTGGCGGGAGGTTTGTTGCCTTGTACCATTCTCCCAGAAACTCCCAGTATTCACCTGACCTTTTTTTCCTCAGGAAGGATCACCCTGTGGCACGTAATTCCTGAGAATTCAAGACTCTATTACAGAATTAATTAAAAAAACCCCAACCAAACCCAAACCAAACAAAAGCCAAACACATGTAACGTCAGTGAACTTCACAGTTTCAAAACTCCACTTTTAATTTCTGTTATTGTCACAGAGGAGGCTACAAAAAGCAGCTCCTACTTCAGGCTGACTGGTCTTAAACTTGGGCAGAAGTTAATGGACAGCAAAGACCTACACACCACTGACAGTTTGCTGGTGGGGTTTGGAAGGGTGTCTAGTGCTCTGCTGCTGTCCAGCCTTTGGATTCCAGTGGCTGAGGAGTTGGGTTCTAAAGCAACATCTGACATGAGGCAAAGCAGGTGATGAGGTAAAGTCTAAGGAGGAAAATTTCAGCACCATTTCTGTAAAAAGGAACTCATGAGGAAAGAACAAAGTGAACCCCTTCACACACCACAACAGGAGGTAGGCAAGAAACACAGAAGTCAAGAATCACAGAATCCTAGGGGTTGGAAGGGACCTCAAAAGATCATCCAGCCCAACCCCCCTGCCAGAGCAGGGTCACCCAGAGCACATCACACAGGAAGGTGTCCAGGTGGGTTTTGAATGTCTCCAGAGAAGGAGACTCCACAACCTCTCTGGGCAGCCTGTCCCAGGGCTCTGTCACCCTCATAGGAAAGACATTTTTTCTGATGTTTACGTGGAACCTCCTGTGTTCCAGTTTTTACCCATTGACCCTTGTCCTGTCACTGGACATAACTGAACAAAGCCTGGCTCTGTCCTCCTGACACTGCCCTGAACATATTTGTGAACACTGATGAGGTTGCCCCTCCATCTCCTCCAAGCTAAAGAGACCCAGCTCCCTCAGCCTTTCCTCATCAGGGAGATGTTCCACTCCCTCCATCATCTTTGTAGCTCTGCGCTGGACTCTTTCAAGCAGTTCCTTGTCCTTCTTGAACTGAGGGGCCCAGAACTGGACACAATACTCCAGATGCAGCCTCACCAAGGCAGAATAGAGGGGGAGGAGAACCTCCCTTGACTTACTAACCACACCCTTTCTAACACACCCCAGGAGGCCCTTGGCCTTCTTGGCCACAAGGACACATTGCTGGCTCATGGTCATCCTCCTGCCCACCAGGACCCCCAGGTTCCTTTCTCCTACCCTGCTCTCCAGCAGGTCAGTCCCCAACCTGTACTAGTCCATAGGGTTGTTCTTCCCCAGGTGCAAGACTCTACACTTGCCCCTGTTGAATTAAATCAAGTTTCTCCCCTCCCAACTCTCCAGCCTGTCCAGGTCTCTCTGAATGGCAGCACAGCCTTCTGGTGTGTCAGCCACTCCTCCCAGTTTGGTGTCACCAGCAATAATCAAGAGTATCAGAATATCAAGCAATGCTGCAAAACTGCTTCCTTGGAGAGAAAATAAAAAGCCTTTAGACTGGCAAGAGTTGGATTTAGGATAGGTTTTTCCATGGCCAGGTATTAATGGCAGATCATGGTGGACACAGCAGAGAAGGAAGGGATCCTTTCCAACCCTGCCAGCTCCTGGGATTCACACTTCCCAAATAACCCACTGCTTGACCTTCAGTAAGCAACACACACCTGTAAGAGAGGAAGCTTTGCTCGTTTGATCAAGGTAAGACAAGGAACCAAAACCAACGTGGCTAGACTGGCTACAGGCACAGAGAGGTGGAAATATCAACGTGCACAAGTTTCACCATCTCCTGTCATGATGCTGAGCTCCTCTGCTGCACCTTCAGCAAACTACTGTGAATCAACATCTCCAGTGGAGACCCTTCTGGTGAGGAGCAGGAGGCTGAGGCTGAGTCACCCACCACTCTGGATTTCAAGGCAGGAATAACACATGAGAAGAAACAATTTCTAGAGACAGAAAAGCTGAGATTATTTCAAGCCTTGTCTTTCAGACTTTTTGGTAATTTGCAGCCATTTGTCCATTACATAAGTTTAAAAATCTCTCACCTACCAAGAACTTTTATATTTTACAAAGCAACCAACAAAACCCATGATCACTAGAAATGTCACCAGGTTTCTTCCCCTATACAGACCAAAAAAAGCCTTTAGGCCCAGGTGAATTCTAAGTTATAAACCCCTTTTTCCTACTTGTTTCCAGCATTTATTTATTCAGAGTAATTTAAAACTGGAAAGATAATTTAGGCCTGTAACACTCCTGTTAAATCCCAGCATAACTTACTTACCCTTGGACAAGCTCTGTTGGTGCAGTTCTGTGACTTTAAATGCCCATAAGGGAATGCCAGTCCAATCAGCCTCACATCCCTGCAAATGTTCTTGGAAGAGAGAAGTGAAATACAGCAGCAGGGCCCGTTGCTGCTGACAGCTTGTGTGTATTTAGTTTTGTTTCGTTTCCAATTCCAGAATCCTCAGAGCTTGGCCCAGTGTCAGGAAAGTGGGACCCAGGGTAAGCAAAGGATTAGTTTTCCAGCTGGCAGGATGTGGCCTTTGGTGGTCCTGAGGGTGGTGTGCCAGAGAGCTGCCATCAAAGGTTGCAAAATAACCTTGCTAATGGCCTTGGACCTTTTAGATGGAGGAAAGGAGAGTTTGTTTATTTATTCTGTAGGAAGACTAAACCAGAACTCCCAAGTAATGTACTACAGTTTATCAATAATAATAATAAAACAATCTGGATAGAAATACTTCCAGCCTTAAAGAGATCCCACTGTGAGATAAAATGCTGAGACTCAACAGAAGATCAGGATGGGATAAGCTGCAGGAAAACACAGCTCTGACTGCACTTCTCTTGAGGTACAACTCAGAAGAGTGCTCAGAGGGCAAGATAAGTTAAATACACAGTGACAGCATTATGTGTTAGGGTGGTACCAGTTACAGCAGTTGCCAGTTTTGATCCTTACAGAGCCTTCAGAATGGCATATTCCAACAGGAGAACACTGCCAGCAACCTGACAGCCTTGCTGACAGGGATCACTCCAGCCCAGTGATGGGGACTCTCCTCCCTTCCATTCAGAGGCAAAGACTGACCTGAAGGCACCTCCTACAAGTTCTGGTGCAGCACAGGCTTGCATAGACATGCTGAGTGCGTTTAATCCAGTTAGACTGAAAAATGTGTGGGACAGTTATGCAAATAAGCCTGGAGTTCCTGGAAGCAGACAGACAAAACCATGCTGAAAAGAGACAGAAAAAGAAATGCTGGTGCTATGCAATCCATAGTGTGTGACTGTGAAAAGGAAAAATATAAAGTATTTAACAAGGACACACAGTTCTACTTTTTTAATTTCAAAGGTTGTCCAGAGCAAAGAAGCTATCGGGGACCTAGTCAGAGAAAAAAATCCCCAAATCAAACCCTAAAAAAGCCCTCCTCATCTCAGTCTTACCTGGAAAACACTGGCACAGGTTTTGAGCCACTGGAAGGACCTTCCCTAATATATTAACCCTTCTGAATAGAGGGCATGGGAGTGGAAGGAAATTGCACAACCCTTCTCAAACAACAGTCTCCAGCACTCAGCTTTTCTGTAGAATGCCAGAAACACCCAGTGTTAGCAGAAAGCACCAGCTGTAAGCCCTGAACTCTTGGGGTTTAGTGCACAGCCAACACAGGTAACATGGTGTGGTTTATCTAGGAAGACAATAAAGCTGAGGTCTCCCCAGATATAAACCTGGATTATCTTCACTTCTGCTTGCCCAAAAAACTAAGCAGGGGCCACTAGGGCTCAGCTGAATACACTGAATTGACCTTGTCACAGGGACAACAGGTCCCCACAGTACCCTAGGCAGCCTGGTCAGGCACTCTTGTTCCCTCAGGGAGCAGTTGTGCATCACATTTGGGGACCCTGGCACCCCCAGTTCTGGGGACACTGAGGTTGAGAGGTAATTTCATCAGTGAAAGATCTTATAATCACACCAGCAAGCAGGAGGTTTGCTCTTGCCACGCAGCAATGTGCTGTGAGGAGATAAAGCAAGAGCCTTTTATTGTTAATTTATCAGAGGCAAGACTGGGCTGCACTGCTGTGCTCTCCCTGGGACCCGCATGGGAGAATTCTCCCAGCTGCCATTTTCCAGCACTACCAGACCAGGCCCATTTGGAGTTAGAAACAGCAAACCCAAGCCAAACAGGTATTTGGATATTAGTTTCCCGCCCCACATGCTTCAGACAAAGCCAGGTTTCACATTAAATATCCAGTGCACCTCCACATGAAGCGTTCAGGTCACTGCCAAGTGACTGGAATGTATCTGACACTTTATACCTGGAATTATTCTTTGGCTCTTTTTTCAGTTCTATCCAGAAAACACACCACAACCCAACTCTGTTCCTTTTCACCACTGCCTGAAATCCTAACAAGAAGTCTGTGGTTCCTCAGAGAAAACAGAGGGTCTGGGTCTTCTACTGTGGATACACTTCTGAGTACAGGAGTCCTTCAGCTGAAATGGCATCCCCGAGCCCCACGGTCCGCACCGGATCCTTACACACCAAAACTGGAGTGAAATGGAATGAGATGCCTTCTCTGTGCCAGTGCACCACTGGCTCATCTGGATTTAAAGAGATTTTGGAAGGTGCCTCAATCTGGGAGGTGTCAAACTCCAAAGGAGCTTTAAGAAAGACTCTGTTGGTGTCAATGGTTTCGGTGGCGCAGGCCTGAGTCCCCGCGGCTCTGGCTCCGGCTGCCACAGCCGCCGCCTGGGTGCCCCCGTGGCCCGGCA